GACTGTAGCAGCTACGACCTTGACCTCTCAGGACTGTAGCAGCTACGACCTTGACCCTTCAGGAGCCCTACAGCTACGACTTCTAGAACTCCCTACCCGACAGGTCTACAGATTGAACCCTCACACCTACAAACTCTACGACAGCTTCCTAACTGCTGCGAACACACGCAGGTCACGGGTTCAACTCTCAGGGTCAACACAGATACTGTACACAGATAAAGTGAGAGCTAGGGATCGAGCCCTGGGATCTGCATTCGCTACTGCTAACAGGTGAAAACCGTTTCACATGTGACTGGGAGCTGAAAATAAGGGAGACATTCAAATTGCAGATACGTAGGTTTTATGCTGTATCGAGCTACACATATTGCTTGATGCTCGCACCTGGCAGAAAGAAGCTACCAGCTCTGGCCGCAATACACATAGCCGTGAGTTTGGGCCCGTGTAGTGATTGTCCCTTGGGCTGGTCCGCATCAAATCCAGGATGTAGTGCCTGTACTGACAATTGCCAAACAAGTAGAAACATTCGGAGAGAACGCATGGAACGCTCCCTCCAACACATACCAGAACGCACATTGCCCGAAATAGTACAAACAGACAGAGACGCCACATGCAAACATGCAGTTATTGGCGCAATCGTGTGCTAAAGCATGTACAAACTTTATACATAACGTACTCTTTCGTAGAACTCCCATGTTGGTCATACTGCCCCAGTCCAGAGCGGGCACTGGCGGCCATACAGGCACACTCGTTCATCCACAAAGTTCTTTTGAAAATCGAGTGTCTGCTTGGTAAACCAAAGAGTCTCCAAGACTGTGTCTTTCCAACCCGAGGACTCGAGTGGAATTGGCCCACTTGTTTTGGTTTGGGTAGATTTCAATAGTGCCACGAATCAGAATAGTAACAAGAATAGCGAGCCCAACAGCAGATTCTACAGCAGCTCCAGTTAATATGAACGAAGCAAATAATTGACCCATCCTGTCATCTAGATAAACAGGAAATACTAAAAAGTTCAACTTGACACCAAGTAACATTAACTCAATTGACATTCAGGAGAAAGAAGTGCCAGCGCGGCCCCAACCACATGAGGAAGGGGCATTGACGGAGTGACGATTAGTGTCCATGAAACCTCTAACCATGTGAATACTGGAACCAAAATATGGGGGATGTTTAGGTAGGTTAAAAAAAAAAAATAGCAATGGTCAACTGTTCGAAAAACAAACATAGATCAATGAAATACATTGAACCTTAATGGAATGGAGAATTGACCCCCTCCTAAGCTGCAACAAAGACAGCCTAGACACCTTCACACCATAAAGACAACTATGAAAAAAGAAAAAAAAACACCAACTTCAAGACAGAGGACTAACCTGCTCCTAAGCCCCAATAAAGACATATTATATTCAAAAAAACAGCACACGTTAAACCACAAGTACTTATGACCCTTACCTTCACGAGCCTAGAAACGCCCTTAGCGCCCAAGCAAAACAAACTGGCGTGTTTTCTTTTTTGGCTGGCGTTTAGCTCAGGTAGGCTTTAATGCAAAACGAAATGCGATATGTGGAGTAAGGTTGTATAGCCCCCCGAAGGTACCACACTCCTGCATCCTTAATCTGTTGCCAACGGATAGACAGCGGTCTCCCACCTGCCGGTCACCAGCTGGGCTCCTTCCCCAAAAGGCACCCAAGCCTCGGCGCACAATGCGCCCTTAACCTACCATCAGTAGTAGGTTGTCCCCCACCTATCAACAGAACCCGGTCATCAGCCAGGTACCTGCAGGCACTGACTACGAACTTGGTAGGTGGTGGGTTACCATCCGTCCTTCCCCTGGCCTACGGCCTATCCCTTCCAATTGTATGCTGTATGTGTGTATGTATGTATGTATATGATTGAACACTCAGCAGAATTGACCCCAGACCACCTGTATACAGTTGTATAGTTGTATGATTGTTATTATAAGGTTGTATGGTTGTAGCAATGAACTTCTCAGTTCGTCACCTTGACCACACACACAATATGATATCACACAAAATCCACACTGAAGACCAGAGGGTTGAAGACCAGGTAAGCGCAGCTTGAAAATTCCGAGGAACCAGTATCCAGTATAATCATCCAAGTATGTGACTCTCTCACTGCTCCTCCCCCTTCTCTCTTTCTTTGGTCTTCTCTCTGTCTACTACCTGACTGTGTCTTTTCTCTCCGCTTGCATGCACTCTCACTCTCTACTACTTGAGAACCATCTCTGAATACACCCACTACTATACTCTTCTACTAACTCTAGCGCAGATTTGGCCGCCTTCTCTCTCACACACAATAGCGCAGCCCTCTGGCCTGAGAGCCCAGCCACTTGCATTACGCACAAGCGCAACAGCACTTCCACACTTGATGAGAATGAGCACTCTGTCCAAAATGTGGCTGGCCAGTCCTTAATATTGACATGGACTGAGATTCAACGCGTCCCAGCCTCTGCTTCTTGTGGCTTGACTTGGTACTGGTACCACATGGCACATCCCCACGGCCTGCTTGCTTCAGAATGTCAAGGCCTGGTACTTTTCCCGAATTTTCATTGGTGTGCTGCTGCTTGGGCCTGTGAGTCACGACTTTTCACCTGTGGAACATGACTTTTGACTGTGGGTTGTGACTCTTGCCTCTGGGACACAACTTTTGCCTGGGGAAGTGTCCTTTGCCAGTGGAATATGACTTTTCAATACGACTCTTCAATATGAGACGTGACTTTTGCTTATAGACCGTAACTTTTGCCTCTGGGATGTGACTGTTTGCCGGGTGCCCGTTGGACTTGACTCCTAAGGTACCCAACTGTGACTTTTCTGAAAGCGACTTTTGCATTTTAGTCTCAGGACGTGCCCCTTCAGCTGGTCTGCAGCAGACTTGACCTTTGGGATATTTGACGGTAACTTCCAGAACCCGGCCGACTGGGCCTCTACCCATTTCGAAACTTACCCTGAAATTCGAACTTGGGGTCTGAATCGTGGAAGGCTTTTCGTTGTACAAGTCACCAAGAACAATCCTTTCAGACCAACTGCATTAGGCAAACCTCCCACAGCCCTGATCCCAACATACAACATCCACGGACTAAACTCCCTTGAGCTGAGCAGGCAGTGTCTGTAATCCTTACAGTGCTCAGACCCAAGGGGAATGTGTGAACAGCCGTTAGTCGGTCAACTCCCATCGGTGTCCACGCATGAGGCCGCAGCATTTTGAACCGACAACCTCAGACCACAATATGTATTTCCAACAGGTGCTCTACCCACTGAGCTAAGCAGCTGTTCTATACGACTGGGTCTTGCAAGTATCACCAGTGCCCTTTAGCACTTCCAAACGACGTTTTAGTTCTCTCTACCCAATACAAGACGTGATCTGCCCTCATGTGGTACTCTTTTCTTTTATCAAGGTTGTGAGAGGTGCCAGGGACAGTGCAGCGCGAGGATGTCCGGCAGGAGACTGGCCAGTGACAGTGCAGCGCGAGGATGTCTGACAGGAGACTGGACTCACCGTGTTCACAGTGGACACCCGCAGACAGGGAACACTCAAGGACAGGACCGCTCAGCTAAACAGTAACTTCTTCCTTTCGTCTCTGGCTTGGTTGGTTACTACACCTTCCGGACCATTTGATCCCCTTTAAACCCCACTTATGTGTGCAACCCCCTCCCCCTCCCGCCCATCCCCTTCGATGAACAATAACAGATTCAGATTCTCAGACCGAGCACGGGCCAGGTGTGAGGTCATTTTTTCTTCCCCACTTTATCCTTTTCGCTGGCCAGTGTGCCCTCGGGTGGCTTTAGTTTGCTACTCGGTTACGAACCTCTTCCCACCTAGCCCAGGACTTGCCTCCAACTGTGCCAGGTTGCTTCTCATCACTCCGTGCGGGATAATAGGCACCAAGTGACTTCTGACCTTCGAAAAATTGTCGGCATCCATCCCACAGTCTTACCTTGATGTAAAATGGGACGGTGGACGAGGGCTGGAATCAAAAGACAGGTGAGTCCGAGGTGACCAGTTATGTCCTGGCAAAACCCTTGTCCTAGACCATCAGTCCACGGTCAAACTCACTACCCACCAAGCGTACTGTGCATCCTCACACCTATTGATCCCTGTAGAGGTCGATTTACTGCAGACATGCTGTCAAACACCTGAGCCCGTCACACAAACAAACAAGCACCTCACAGGTACCACCTGATATCCACCGGCCGAATAGAAAGAAGCCACAAATGCATGACAAGTAATGTTGTCTGGGGTCACAAACCTGTCATCACTCCCTACAATTCCCTTGCATTCCACAGGACCACAGAGTTTCACAGATTTGCCTGAGCCATCCTCCACGCTGTGCTCCGCAATATGCAACAGCTTCCCAACTTCACACATCTGCAAGCCCACCCCACAATGCACAAAAAAGCAAAAACTTCAGTCACATTTACAGAAGGCGAAATTGGCCAACATCAGGCCCACTCAATCTTCCCAATGAACATACTCCTCCAACGCCTTGCTTGTCAAACAAAGAACTGAAGCAGTCACTGACTTTACCTTTGGGGGAGTCCGCGGAGAAGTGCAAAAGGAATCACAGTTCTGGAACGGTACAAGTCCATTTTGCTCCTATTTGCACCCCCAGGACGGGCCTTTCCTCGTTGCCTTCACTCCCCAC